CCAGCTGATCGCCGGAGCGAACCGCTTCGCTTTCCAGCTGATCGCCGGAGCGAACTGGTTTGCCGAACCAGCTGAATCCCACCCTTGCCCATGTTCCTCTTGCCCCCTCCCCCAGTTCAATCCCAGAATCCCTTGCTTGCAGATTCCAGCTCAGCCTTTTGTCTTTAGAGCAGTGACCTCCAAAATTGGCAACTTTAAAGACAGCTAGGCTTCGATTAGCGGTTTGGGGAGTGTGATTCAATAAGTGGAGTTCCCACAGCGCAAAAAGCCACGAATCTTGGTGTATTCCCAGCTGGACTATGATACACTATGCCCAAAACAGAGAAACGACAGCAGATTATGGTTTAGGGTCAGGTGAGGGCTCTCCAAATATGCCACTTTTAAGACGGCTGGACTTTAATTGGCGGTTTGTAGACTGTGATTTAATGGGTGGAGTTCCCACATGACAGGAAACCGCAAATCTTGGCTTATTCCCAGCAGAGCTACGATTCATGTTCTGTCCTCACTACACGTTCATCTGCGTGCAGCTCGACGTGCAGCTAACCCCGCCTATCCTCCAGTAAAACAGACCATGTGCGTAGATCTGAATGCTTTATTGAAAGAACAGGATATGGTGAAACGGGGGAAAACAGGGATATATACGAGAACCAAATACAAGATAGACAGTATTGAGTTACCGCTTATTCCCAGCAGAGCTACGATACATAGAGAAACTACACCAGATTATGGTTTATAGGGTCAAGTGAGAGCCTAGACTCTAGAACAATGATCTCTAATCTTGGCAACGTTAAGTTCGCCGAGCGGAATTCTGGGAGTTGAAATCCGCTCGTCTTCACCTACCCCAGTTTGGAGGCCCCTGCCGTACAGGATCTCCCATCAAATCTTCCTTCTGCCTCTCCCCAACAGGTGATTGATATGCTGGCGCTGTACCTCCCCCCTGAAAAGCTTTTCCCCCAGCTGGTGAGTACGAGCATTTTGGGGGGGGGGGGGATTCAAAATGACGACAATAGGGGCCAACCAGATCTTAAAAGCACTCCTGTCGGTTTGCCCCTCCCCCAGACCCCTCTAATGGAACCGGCGCTTTTGAGCCCCAACCCATACCACCGGAAGGCCGGGCTCATGTGTTTGGCGGTGCTGGCCGAAGGCTGCGGAGATCACATCCGTAACAAGTACGTAACTACGGTTCTGACCCAGGCTTCCTTAAAAAGCATGAAGCGGAGTCTTGCTCCCAGCAAAACCCCTGTTCCTTACACGACGGTGAATTCCTGTCATTCACAATCCGCAAGGCTTGGCAAACAGTCTTTCAGAGGAGTATTTATCAACACGAACCTTAGCTCGCTTGGCGAGCTAACATATAACTAGTTTCCAAAAACAGGGCGAGGCAAAACTTGGCACGACTGTGAATTCCTTTCATTCACAGTCAGCAACGCTTGGCGAACAGTCTTTCCAAGGAATATTTATCCACACGAACCTTATCTCGCTTGGCGAGCTGCCAGATAACTAGTTTCCACACACAGGGACAGGCAAAATTGGCAGGACTGTGAATTCCTGTCATTCACAGTCCGCAAGGCTTGGCAAACAGTCTTTCAGAGGAGTATTTATCAACACGAACCTTATCTTGCTTGGCGAGCTAACATATAACTAGTTTCCAAAAACATGGCGAGGCAAAACTTGGCACGACTGTGAATTCCTTTCCTTCACAGTCAGCAACGCTTGGCGAATAACAGTCTTTCCGAGGAATATTTATCCACACGAACCTTATCTCGCTCGGAGAGCTGCCAGATAACTAGTTTCCCAACAGTGGGCAAGGCAAAACTTGGCACAGAGTCTCTTATAGTCACAAACAGAACTTCCCACTCTTGACACGACCGAAGGGACAAATTGTTTCCTGCAACAGCCCATTCCCCATTTGTTCCTCTTTTGTTTCCTGTGGGAAGAACCAATCACTTCCGAGGTGTGGCTTTACTCCCAAGTCGACCCTGCTTTCTTAGTCGTTCTTGTCTTCTGGCAGCTCGGCGCATGCGCACACTGGGAACAGGCTCCAGCTGTTCCTCTGTCCCGCTGCTGTCTAGCTCCCTCTCTGCCTCCGACACAGAGCCCTCATTCGAGCCTTCCCCAGACTCCAGGACTGGCCCATGTTCCTCCCCAACCTCCTCACTGTCCGACTCTGCTGCCAGCTCCTCTGGCCGCCGGCAAGCCACAACCACTGCTCGGTTTGCGATCAGGCCGTGTTTCACTCAACGGCCATGAGGGGAGGTCACAGCCTTGAATCGTAACCCCATTCCGATTTTGGCTCGGGGTTCTCTCGACATGCTCTTTCCTCCGTCATGTATGTCTACATCCTACTGTCCACAGGCATCTTCAGCCCATGCTCCAGGTGGTGTGCCGCGCGTTGGCCGACGAGAGTCAGGTGGTACGCAACGCTGCGCTGTTCGCCTTGGGCCAGTTCTCCGAGAATCTGCAGGTGAGCCACGCCCAAAGGAGAAAGACGCTTACCATCTGAATACCGTATTTTGCAGAGTATAAGACGCACCAAGGTTTTCTCCGTAGATAGTTTTATTTTCCGTTTTCATTTCCGTACAGTCCCACATATACTGTACAGAACCGGGGCCATATAACGTTAAACAATAAACACAGCCATTCCTCTTGTCAGTAATGCCCCCCCAAAATAGAAACCCAATGTACCTCTTCGACCCT